AACCAGCAACGGGATAGCAACCCTCGTTGTTGCGCCCGCACCGCGCTCAGCCAGTGAGCGGGAACCGGTCTTCACATGGGATCCGAACCCTCGGCGGGAGCGCCACTGCGCTCCCAAGTGGTGCACTCTCCAGTGCGCCACCGGGCCGGCCCTCTCATCTTTTTTTTTTTTCACCTTTTTCTATTTACTCTGTGTATTAGTCCGTTTCTGTTGCTCACAAAATACACAGAACTGGGTGATTTATAAAGAAAATGAAATGTATTGGCTTACAGTGTCAGAGGCTAGGAAGTCCAAAGTCCAGGGAACATATCTGGTGAAGGCTTTCTTTGGTGACTTCAGTGATGGCTGGGTATCACACTGGGAAAATGGTGGAGAGAGACAACAGAGACTAACCTCTTCATTCACTCTCCTTTTAAGGCCCTCCAAACCATGCCCATGACCACCATTATTAATCCATTCACTACCGCATGGTCCTACAAACTAATCACCTCTTCAGGGCTCCACCTTTAATTACCATAATAGGATTTCCCAGTCTCTTAATAGTCACAGTTGGAGCCAAGTTTCTAATACATAAAACTTGGGGGACACAATTCAAGCTTCAGTGAGTTTGAGGGGACATTCAATCTACTACATTCTGTGACTTTATGAGAGGCTGAGGGAGAAGTGGAAGATATATTTGGGAATTGTGGAGAAGACTACCACTCCACCTGATTTCCATAGATCACTCAGCCAGCTTGCATATCTCTTCATTCAACAATTATTTGAATGCCTACCAGTAGCCAGATATTGTTCTGCGTATTGGGGGATACACTGGTTAATAGGACCAAAAATGACCTTTCCCTCATTGAGATTTCATTCTAGTGGAGAGATGGAAAGCAAGAAGTAAACAAAGAAAACTGTGTATTGTGATAAGTGCTACAAAAGAAATAGAGTAGTAATAGGAAATAACAGGGAGAACCTACCGTGCTATGTGTTCTATGAAAGCTTTTCTGAGGAGGTGGTGCTTAAGCAAAAATATGAGGAGCCAGGGCTGGCCTATTTGCTCAGTTGGTTAGAGCATGATATTGTAACACCAAGGTCAAGAGTGCGGATCCCTGTACTGGCCAACTGCCCCAAAATAAATAAATAAATAAATAAGAGCCCAACTGCCAATAAATACACACATAAACAAACAAACAAACAAATAAATAAATAAGAAGAGCCAATGATGGCCATCTAAGGATGAGTGAGGGATGAGAAGGAACAGCAAGAGAAAAAGACCTGAAGTGTGAAAAAGCATGGTATGTTTGAGAAACCAAGAGAAGGCCAATGCCAGTAGAGTTTTTCCATTTGTGGGTCTGAACTCATAAGTGGGTAGTTACTAGCACTAGAAAAAGAGAGAAGATAAAATGTTAGCGTACCTTGCACATATTTTAAGAACTGTATTTTGATTATATATTTGAATGTGTACACGAGATTGCAAATATATATATATATTTTTTGGCATCTGTCCAGTATTGGGATCCAAACTCTTGACCTTGGTGTTAGTGTTGTAACACTGTACTCTATTCAACTGAGCTAACTGGCCAGCCCTACTCTTTCTCAAAATGAGTAATGGTCAAAAAAGTTTGAAAGCCACTGGGCTAAAGTATGGTGAATATGGATAGACAGGGGAAGGAAGAGATGAAATTATAGGGGTTTTCTTTTTTTTTTAAAATAAACCTTTTTTATTTTGAATAATTTTAGATTTATAGAAAAGTCGCCGGCCTATGGCTCACTTGGGAGAGTGTGGTGCTGATAATACCAAGGCCACAGGTTCGGATCCCATATAGGGATGGCCGGTTAGCTCACTTGGAGAGTGCGGTGCTGACAACACCAAATCAAGGGTTAAGATCACCTTACCAGTCATCTTTAAAAAAAAAAAGAAAAAAGAAAAGTTGCAAAGATAGTACAGAATTATATATCCATCACCAATTTCCTCTAATTTTTTTAAAGGAATTTATTTTTTAATTGAAATGTATTGATTGTACATATTTATGGGTACACAGTTATAATTCAATACATGTATACAATGTGTGATGGCCAAATAGGGTAGTTAGCATATTCATCACTGCAAAAATTTATCATTTCTTTGTGATAACATTTGAGCTCCTTTCTTCTAGCCATTTGAGATCATACAATAAATTATTAACTTCTCTAGTTTTAAAATCTTATATAAAACTATGTTATATTTGTAAAAACTTAGAGAGTTACATTGGTACATTAATATTAACTAAATTTCAGATTTTATTAAAATTTCACCAGTTTTGCTACTGACGACCTTTTTCTATTCTAGGATCCAATCCTGGATACCACATTGCATTTACGAGGTTTTGTTGTTAATGAACTATATCATACCTACAAAGAATGTATGTAAGGTATAGTTTTGGTTTAAAAGTGTGGCCTGTTTTTTTAATTTGCTGTTTTTGACATACAAAGTTAGCACCAGTCAAGTCTTCCACACAAATCTTCCCAAAAGCTATAAGAATTTAGATCCTGATTTTTTATTAGTCAGTTGACTCCTCACTTTCTGACTTGGAAGACTGGGTCAATTACGGAGACACTAATCAAAATAGAGGGTATGGGCAGAGGGAGTGAAGTCTGGCGGCTAGGACCAAAGCAGCTTGACAATTTGAGAATAGTTTTTCCCATAGTAAGATAATACTAAAGTGCAGCTGTGGAAGAGTTACGGTGGGTAAGACTTCCTGGCCTGAAAAAAAAATTTTTTTTTAACCTTTGGACTGAAAATTTTAAATGGGAAAAAAGAAACGGGTTTTGACTCTCTCTCTCTTTTTTTTTTTTTGGCGGCTTGCCGGTATGGGGATCCGAACTTTTGACCTCGGTGTTACAACACCGCGCTCTAACCAACTGAAGGTTTTGACTCTTGGCAGGACATTATCGATAGAAGTAGCCACCACTCTGTTTTCCATTAAATCCTCAAAACAATTCTTCTAAGCATTATTTCCCTCCTTTCGCAGAGGCTCAGAGAAGTGGTGCAATTTGCAAAGTCTTTCAAAGAGGGGCCGAGCCGCACACTCCTACCCATCCCACCGCTCAGCGTCACTCGCCCAAGGCCGGGCTTGTGCGCAAACGCCGCTAGTACGGATTGCTGGCCCTCTCATCACACACCCCGGCTACTTCCGGGAGGTCGCCCGAGAACTTCAGCGCGCTTGCGCAGCACCGCCCCGTGACGTCAACCGCTCCGTTCCTCCCCCTTTTGGAACGCGGAGCTGGTGAGCAGGCTGGCGGCCATTTTGTGAAGCGGCGAAGGAAGTGGTGGCTGCTGTAGGCTCCGGGAAGACGTTCGGGCTGGGGCTGTCGGCCGCGGGGCGGAGGCACTCGCGCGGGGGGTAACTCGGGTCTGGGTTCTGGTGCCGCGCAGCTCTCCCCGGTAAGACTCCCGCAGCCCCGGAACGGGCGGGGCTGTGCGGGGCTCGAGCCGCCCCTTGGTGGCCCGGGGCGGGGCCTTCGGAGGCCTCCGAGTCCGCCTCAGCGAGCGCCCCACACAAAGCAAAGGGTCGGGGCAGGGCTGCGGGGGACCTGGGGCACCACTTACAGCTTGGAGGCGTGAGAGGACGCAAGGAGGACACAAGCGAGGATGAGCCTGGGTACCGAAGTGGGGACGAGGCCATGGCCAGGATTCCCCTGTGGTCTGAGAAAGGGAGGCGGAGGCCAGAGCTGGGTGGCCCAGCGCCTGCGGGCTAACGGGGATTGCAGTGAATACACACCTACGTACCGTGTGGGGAAGATTTCCTGTACCCTCAAATGGGGCAGAGGTTATAACTACACCTCTGTACCCTGAACTGGGGAGATATTCATAGTGTGGACACTCCCTCTCCCTGAAGTGGAAAGGAGACCCCTGTGGCCTACCAGCAAAAGGGGACTACAGTCAGGACACACTTGTGGGGAGGAAGTTGTAGTCGGTGCACTCCTGTGTCCAGGAAATAAGTCTCAGGACCGGCTGCCTTCATAATCTCAAGGTTGAGGGGGTTGCAGTGAAATGTTCCCAAGGCCCGGCGCTGGGGACAGGGCATACTCTCGAGGGTGTAGGCAATTTGAGAGGCCGCTCTCTATAGCAAGGAAGTGGCGGTGAGTACGCCTCCCGAGGCTCTGAGAATTGTAGTCAGGTGCCAGGCCGTTAGGCCCAGGTAGGGAAGGGGCTGCAGTGAGCAGTACCTTCAGGGCTCCCTTGGGAGAGGAGCCTCTGCCACTGAAGGAGGAGGGGATCCAGAGGGATGTGGGGGTGGGTAATTTTGATGGAGAGTTTATTTAGTTTCTCTGAAGGTTGGCGGCGAGCTTGAAATGGGTGGGAAGGCCCTTGATCTACAGGTTAGTGACCAGGATGCATTAGGCTTAGCTGCTAGGTTGTAAGTGTATGGACTTAGTGTGCCTCCAATGTGTGTTTTATAATGAAAAAACTGAGGTGCTCCGGTGAGCATTATTTGGGGTTATTTGGTGCTAAACATTCATTCTATTGAGTGGTGTATATTGAGAATGCAGGCTTCGTAGGAGAGATTTCTGGACCCTAAACCCCTCCTTGGCTCCTGGATTCCCAGAGATTGGGGCAGTTGACAGGAACCATTTTGTATTATTCAAGATTAGGGTGATGCTAGTCAATATAACTTATTGAAAAAAAAAGTGTGGCAACTGAAGGTTTGTTGAAGGGAGAGACTTATGACTGGAATATTTCTCTTAGAGCTTCCTGAAATTTTAAATGGTGTAATTTTTGTAAAATGTAGTCTTAGCAACAAGAATTGCCTGGTACCTTGTTAATTAGTATATATTGTTAATGCATTTCAGAGAATTTGCAGTTGAAAAAAATCCCACAAGTCTGGACATGTAGGGAAATCCTGTTTTTTTTTAAATTACAGAAATATAATACAAGACTGGTTGTACTTGTTTTTGAAATTTGGTAGTTTTGATAGTATGGAGGATTTCTGGATTTAGTGGAAAGTAATTGTGTTCAGGAACTTTCCAAGATTATTAAAAAGAAGTTGGAAAGAACTGTTACAGGTGGTTCAGATAACTTTATGGTAATTTAATTTTTGAAGAAAATGAAATGTTTGGAATGTTTATATTAAAGCGTTAATAAAGATGTGCTTAGTATGTATTATTGGGCAGTTTTAATGAAACGGGATGCATTTTTATATCACTTTCATGCTCTATTAAATGTTGATTACTTTGTTTATGGGTTGTATTGCGTAATTTCAGATTTTCTTATGTTCACATCTGTTAGGTGACAAATATGAAGCTTTAGAAGCCATTGTGGTTGTTACTTGGAACATACGGTATGTGCTAATATCAGTACACTTTAGGCTTCTTTCCCTTTCTTTGACATGTCATATGTTTTGGTGACTGCATATTGAGAGTTTGGGAGTTGCTGGTACAGTTTTTAGATGTGAAACTTGATTTTGTGGGCCAGTGTGTTCCAGGTGCTGGAGTGATCAATGTTGATACTGTTTTTATTCCATTTTGCAGAGAGCCACTCCATCATCAGTTTGAATGAATGTTTTCTTCTGTAGATGTTATAGGAAGAATTGTCAGTAATTGGTTGCACAAAAGATGCTTTCAGATATCCCTTCCTAAAATGCAGAGAGTATTGTCTAGTTTTATATCTTCTGCCTGTGCTTAATACATGTTCATGGAGTAAATGAATATTGTTAAATGTTTTAGGTTAACTAAACAAAAAGAATTCCACCTAACTTCCAGCTTTATTAGATTTTACTACCACCACCATGTACTTTTTGGTTTGCATAGTTTAGTTGATTAAATTTAAAGAGAACTTTAAAGTCTTAAAACCACAGTGAGGGTGAATGCGGTTGGTTAGGTTAAAAGTACTATTTTTGCTTTGAAATTTCTTTTTTTTTTTTTTGCTTTGAAATTTAAATGAAGGTAATGAACATTTTTGTTGGCAGTTGGGGGGGATCAGAAAATAACGATATTAAAGTCTTTTTGGGAGGAGGACTATCTTATTAAGAAATGTCTCTTGATTTGCGGCCTTTGACTACTGAATGGAGGTTAATGGGAAAATTGAATAATGCATTATAAAAGTGATACATCTCCATCAGTGTCAGAAGAATCTTTTCATTAAGAATGATCCCGGAATCTGAAATGTATTGTTTGGGGATGGGGGACAAAATCAAATGAATGAAGCTGTGATTGTTTCATAATGCCTACCATAATGTGATTATACTGATTATAGCATTGTGCCCATTGTGATTGATTCTCTGTTGCTCATCTCTGAAGGGCTGCTCTTTTTTTGGTTCTTTTGGATCTGAAGAACCTAGCCCTGCTATACCCTGGTTCTTGTCAATTAAAGACTGATGATTGAACAAAGTTAAAATTGACTTTTGGATGTTTATTGCCAGGTGAAGAGTGGAAATGGTTAAGTTCTAGTTTGTGCCTTGACTTCTTGATAAAGACGTTTATTGTTAGACATTTTATTTGAAATTCCAAGTGATTGGAATGGCTAGTAAATAAGGAAGTCTGTCTTGTCATAATATACTAAATTTTTGTAGCAGATATTTGTAATTTGTGCATGTATTTGGTATTTGCCAAGCTGAAGCAAAGCCTCTCTGTTTAGGACTAATTCCTAATACGAAGTGGAAAATATACTAAAGCAAACTTCTTGTTTTAGATCTTCTGACATATATCATTGAATTTAATGGCAAATCAGGCCAATTTTTCTTCTTTACTACTCTTATACTTTATGTATAGATAAAATCTGTATTTTAGATATTTTGTTGCATAGAATTATTTTAGTTTTATCCTTCTAAAGTTTACCGAAGTGAATGGGGTGGGTTTTTCATTTCGGGATCCTATATTCAGTTGCTAGCTGACATTTAGAATACAGGAATGAATAAATTCCTGGATTACAAGTGTGCTCTTTACAAAGTGAGGTGTTGAAACAAAATTACTTTAATTCTTAGTTTCCATTTACTTTGCCCTTTTGAGGGAAGTATCATACCAAGGGTTGTGAAGTTCTGACTTTTGACTTCTAACCTCAACTTTGTGCATACTTTTTCTTGGTGTAAGGTGGGTTGCTGAAGTCCGGCTGTTTAGCTTAGTTGGTTAGAGCAAGGTCAAGGGTTTGGATCCCAGTACTGGCCAGTTCGTGTTCCCCACTCCCCCCCCCCACCCCCAAAGGTGGGTTCTGAAATAGAAAAGAATCACAAATTTATGTCTGGATTGTTTTTGTGCCTTAAGCTGAACACATAAAACTTGACTCTGGGCATTCGCCACATTCAGTGGGGCCTTTCAACCTTTCCTTGTGGAGTGAGAAGTTTCCTCCTTGTTAGTTTCTGGCAACCTTGTAGAAATTTTTGAAAGTAGACCTAGTGAGTTTCCTTTGGACTTAACTGGCTGCTCTTGACTTTATCCTTCTCCAGATGGACATAGGGTGCCTTCTTGAGTTTGGAAGGAAAGAGGCTGAGGAACCTGTTTCCCTTCTATTTAGGGCATATGCCCTGGCCTCATATCAGACCTTTGAATTGAAATCTCCAGTAGGGGTCATATGTTTATCTCAAGTGCTTAACTAGAAAATTACTCTGGTTCTTTAGCTCCTGGAGTCAAACCTGTACATTTAGAAATAAATATTGCAAATAATTCATGCTCTTCCTCATTGCATTACTCAAAGCAAGCTTTTTTTTCTGTTTCCTGTTTCCCTTTGTGACCAGTTAGATAAACTTAGATATGGTTTCTAAATGAAGAGTTTTTTAAGCTCTTTAGACTTAGGATAGATTTGTACAACATATAAAAGATTAATACAATGCTTTGGGCTTTAAAAAGTGTGTTTATGGGCCGGCCCGGTGGCGCACTGGAGAGTGCACCGCTTGGGAGCGCGGCGGCGCTCCCGCCGAGGGTTCGGATCCCATGAGGAGACCGGTTCCCGCTCACTGGCTGAGCGCGGTACGGGCACAACACCGAGGGTTGCGATCCCGTTGCCGGTCCCTGGTACGGGTGCGACACCGAGGGTTGCGATCCCGTTACCGGTCAGTAAAAAAGACAAAAAGGAAAAAAAAAGTGTGTTTATGAAATACTTGCGTAGCTTTCTGTGGCAGAACAGTCTCACTATTCTTTAGTAATTTGAATAGTTGACTAGATGTTTAGCTTGTCCTTTAGAAAAGTTTAGAATAATACTTAGAGTTTTTAAAATGTTTTACTTTTTGATGAATATTAAGCTCATTAGTGGTATCTTAATTTTGAAAGGTATTAGTTTAAAATGAGTGATATAATGTCTTCTGTTGGTAATCTTAATATTGAACAGTGGCAGTTATTTTCTACTTCCTTTCTCTGAATTAAAAAGTGGCCTTTTGAATATAATTGTCTAATCATTTGGTCATATATATTGCTTGTGACTTGTTCATAACTTCACCAGTTTGGAAGAGATCCCAGTGAAAGATGAATGACTTGTTTTTACTTTGGGAAGTACTCTTAATCTGCCAGACGTTTTTAGGGATTTTTTTTAAAATAAGCTTTTTGCAACTGTTGTGCTGTTAGAAGAAAACATTATTCGTTAATATTTTGAACTCCAGTGGAATTAGTCCTTATAGCCAGAACTTTTACTTCATGTATGTTTTGTGATGTTTGATGCTATTTTGGTGCAAAGAAAAATACATTGAAAGAGTAATTTTAGCAATTTCCATCCTCTTGAATTGACAATTTAATCTGTCCAGGAATTGTATTGTGCAAACTTGTGCTTTTTCATCAAAAATTTGGTGGGAACCTGAGGAAACAGGTAGTGATTGGACTTGTGTTATGGAGTTTTCTGGACTGGCTTAATCATCAAGTGATAAAAGCATCTGTGAAGCTGAGCTTTACGACTGTTTTAGTTTTCAATTGATTCATTCTTGGGCTAATTTATGACACATTCTTGAGGTATGTAAATATATAAATATTTTGAGAGATACTCAAATTTGAAAGCAATACCAAGTAAAAAGCATGCGTGGGATTTTGGTTACATGTCTTTCCCTTTTTTTTTTTTTTTTTTTTTTATTCTAATGAAGTACTCTGGTGGTTTCTCATTCTAATGAAGTACTCTGGTGGTTTCTGACTTGCCTTCGTAATGTACAGTTCAGTGTGGCCTGTGCGTGTTGTTTTGTGTTTCCTGCATTGATTTTTGCCTTCGTTTATTCTCTATTGCAGTCTAAAAGTTGGTTTTAATTGGTTGCCCACAGGATTGACTTGGCCTCTACTTCTTGTTAAGAAAATACATCTCTTGTTTTATCAGGTAAGAGATTTTGAATACAGGGTTTGTTTTTATACAAAATAAAGTGAAATCACTTATTAAGAAACATGAAAATATGTGTAGTAACTAAATTGTGTGTGTGTGTGCTTACAGGCTCATCTGAGGGTTGGGGGTGGAATTGACCGGGTACCCTGAACAGTTGTTGTTTCCTTTGGGGATCAGTTTTTTTTTTTTGTCTTTTTCCGTGTCCGGCTACGGATCGCAACGCTCAGTGTCGCCCCCGTACCGGACCGGGACCGGCAACGGGATTGCAACCCTCGGTGTTGCTCCCACGCCTCGCTCAGCCAGTGAGCGGGAACCGGTCTGTATGTGGGATCTGAATCCTCGGGCGGGAGCGCCGCCGCGCTTCCCAAGCGGCGCACTATCCATTGCGCCACCGGGCCGGCCCCTTTGGGGATCAGTTTTATATGGATGCATTTCTCTTGCTGCATTATGGATTGTTAGGCAATAAGTACTGTTTTTTTTTCCCTCAGTAGCATTCTAGACTAATTACAAATATAGGTGCTTGCTATCAGTATGGTTATTTATATTCCCGAGAGGTATAGATATAGATATTGGGCCCTATGTTTTAGAGTACAAAATTTAGACTTTATTTTTTATTTTTATTTTTTTAAAAAGATAACTGGTAAGCGGATCTTAACCCTTGACCTGGTGTTGTCAGCATCATGCTCTGCCAAGTGAGCGAACCAGCCATCCCTATATAGGGATCCGAACCCATGGCCTTGGTGTTATCAGCACCACACTCTCCCGAGTGAGCCACGGGCTGGCCCACACATTTTAGACTTTAGATGGAACTTTAGCAACTGGAATCTAACCCTCTTGTTTAAGTAATTAGAGTTGGGTTCAAGATAGGTTGAAATGACTTAATAGGTACTTAGTAGCAAAATAGCAGGTGTTATTTTATATTTTTCAGAACTCAAAAACTTTCCTTCCTCATATGGCCTTATGAGAAATCTTGCGCTCTACTTTGGTTTAATTCTAAACACTTTTCTAGCTGGTAGAGAGGTAAATTTTCAATAGAATTTTTTTTGTGCACCTTATACAGAATTTTAGTAAATCCCTCTCAGCAGAAAATGGTTTAAAGACTTATTGTGTATGTCACTTTACCCTGTGTTTAATTTTTGTGTTTCTTGGGACCATGTCAAGTTCCCATTTTATTGTCCCATTGCAGACTAACATCTCTCTCAAGTTGTCTTGGGTACCTGGATTACCCATAATGATTCCCCCCATATAAAGCGATTATAAGCATTTTTTGAAGTTGAACAGGAATGTTATCACAATTTTGAATATAGCCACATATTCTAGATTCAATAAGGAATGGGAATTTGATTTAATGACTTAGAAACTTCTTGATGAACTTCCTAATAGGCCACTAAATAGTAAATAAGGAGAAAAGAGTCTGTTGATGTCTGTTTTTTAGGGTTACGTTTTCTTGTTGACTCTTGCAGTCCATAAATTAAAAGCTTCCCCCAACCTCCCCAAATTTCTAGTGTTTTATGATGGTCTCACAAAGAACATTTTCTGTTGGCCAGTTTATTTGTCTAGATTAAATTTGAAAGTGGCTTTTATTTTTGTGTATGAATGTGTTGAAACTATCAAAGCCAAACAATATATTTCTCTTTCATATACAACAATCATGAGATTGAGTTATTACTAGATTTTATTGCATTGAATTAGTGTTCATATAATACTTGACAACGAAGAATTGCTTTCATGGAGTTACAGAATTCTTAGCGCTTAGAGCAGGAAACCTTGCCCCTTCTTTTTTTTTTTTTTTTCCTTTTTATCTTTTTTCGTGACCGGCAACGGATCGCAACCCTCAGTGTTGCGCCCGTACCGGACCGGGACCGGATACGGGATCGCAACCCCCGGTGCCACACCCGCACCTCGCTCAGCCAGTGAGCGGCCGGTCTGCACGTGGGATCCGAACCCTCGGCANCCGGTGCCACGCCCGCACCTCGCTCAGCCAGTGAGCGGCCGGTCTGCACGTGGGATCCGAACCCTCGGCAGGAGCGCCGCCACACTCCCAAGCGGCGCACTGGACCGGGCCGGCCCTACCTTGCCCCTTCTGATGTTCTTGTTTGGGAAGTGATAAAACCAAATCTGAAATAGTTTATTATAACTTCCCTGAGGTCACAGAGCCAATTTAATAGGCTTATATTTAAAAGTTGGTTTTTGAGATGACCTGGAAAACACCCTATGTTGTTGATCACATTAATTTCAAATTAATGTTTTTTCCACTCCCACGAATTTGGTTTATGTCGCTTCACAAAGGGCTGCCCTTGCATTTGCTCTTAGAAGTCTTTAGAACTGAAATACTGAAATTTGACTTGAATTTGGGAGAAACTTTTCTTTTTGATTAAATCAAAATAGACATTATCTAAGGAGATCAGTGAGCAACCAGAGATCCCACATGAGTTGGGTTAGAGACTGAACAATCACTGAGTAAAGTTCACATCCTAGTTCTTCGAAAACAAAACCAAAATCCCCTTGTTTTCTTCATTGTCAGCCCTCCCCTAGGGAAAAAACAAGACTTATTTATTTATTTATTAATGAAAAGATGACCAGTAAGGGGATCTTAACCCTTGACATTGTCAGCACCATGCTCTCCCAAGTGAGCTAACCGGCCATCCCTATATAGGGATCTGAACCCATGGCCTTGATGTTATCAGCACCACACTCTCTCAAGTGAGCCATGGGCCGGTCCTAAACAAGACTCTTTTTAATGGAGGGTTTGAGAATGAGTCATTGGACCTGAGTTTTAATTAAACCAGTCACAGTGAGTGGCATTATAACTAGGATAATGAATACAGGTAACTCCGATATTGGCTGTCTTGTTCAGTATTTCTTTTGGATTCTTCGTATGTATTAACCTTGTTTATAATAAATAATTCCGGGCTGAGCCTGTGGCGCACTCGGGAGCACAGCAGTGCTCCTACCTCGAGTTTGGATCCTATGTAGGGATGACCAGGGTGCGTATGTATTAACCTTGTTTATAATAAATAATTCCGGGCTGAGCCCGTGGCGCACTCGGGAGCACAGCAGTGCTCCTACCTCGAGTTTGGATCCTATGTAGGGATGACCAGGGTGCACTCACAGCGCTCACTGGCTGAGCGCGGTGCGGCCAGTCTCAAAAAGGACAAAAACAAACAAACAAAAATAATAAATAATTCCATATGTAGTTTTATTGAATAAAACTATAAGGCAGATTGAAAAGTTTTAGGATGAAATATGGAATCCATTCTCGTTTGAGACTTGAATCTACTTTAGTGTTAAATATTATTTGTAATTAATTATTGTTTTAGTTTTGTTTGTTGGATTTTGAGACTGAGTCCTATAAAATGACACTAATAATTCTATAAAATTATCAAGTTTATAGGGACTATGCAAAACTAGTTTTAAATATTAATTTTGATACATCCTTTGCATGTTTTTCCCCTAGAGATTGTTCAACTTTGTTTCCTGATTTGACTTACACTTTTAAATCTTACTTAGGGAGGTTGGAGATAATTGGGTAGGGGACATGGGGTACAATCGCAATTTGTGGTAATGGGCATACTGCCAGTGTGGATCTAGGCTTCACATCTTTTGCACGAGGGGTGACAGTCAGCTTTGTATCTCATAAATATTCATAACCAGTAAAAAAAAAAAAAGAAATGAACATCTCATTATACTACAAACTTATAAGCTATAATTAGAATGTTCTAAGCCATAGTACTCAGCATGTGCTAAACGCTTTCATATGACACACCAAAAGAAATGCAATTCACACACTTTTCCGTCAGTGATGGACCGCATATACTATAGTGGTCGGAGCAGTAAGCTAGGTGTATATCAGGCTATACCATCTAGGTTTGTATAACACTTTGTGATGTCCGCATGACGACGAAATCACCTAATGACACGTATACCCGTCCTTAAGCGACGCATGACTGTATATGGTGATTTTATTGTTCTACAGTTGTTTTTTTCCTGAAACTTTTGAGTCTTGGGACTGAATTTCTAATCGTTTTCAGAATTAATGCCTTTTGGAAGTTGGAATTGTCTGGGTTTTACCTTGTAAATGGCACGCAATGTTTGTTCAGTTTTTAGAATATCTAAATTAAAGACATTGCCTTTGATAGCTTGAGGGAATATTTGAGAACCTAATATGGTAGCTGGTCATTCTTATAGCTAAAAACTTGGTGTGATAAACAGGAGTCTGACCTGGCCGTTGCCTTTTCTCATCTGCAGGTGTGTGTGGTTTCAGCGCAGCATGGCTGTGGTCATCCGTTTGCAAGGTCTCCCAATTGTGGCGGGGACCATGGACATTCGCCACTTCTTCTCTGGATTGACCATCCCTGATGGGGGCGTGCATATTGTAGGGGGTGAACTGGGTGAGGCTTTCATCGTTTTTGCCACTGATGAAGATGCAAGGCTTGGTATGATGCGCACAGGTGGTACAATTAAAGGGTCAAAAGTAACACTATTGTTGAGTAGTAAAACGGAAATGCAGAATATGATTGAACTGAGTCGTAGGCGTTTTGAAACTGCCAACTTAGATATACCACCAGCAAATGCTAGTAGATCAGGACCGCCACCTAGCTCAGGAATGAGTGGCAGGGTAAACTTGCCTACAACAGTACCCAACTTTAATAATCCTTCGCCCAGTGTAGTTACTGCTACCACTTCTGCTCATGAAAGCAATAAAAGTATACAGACATTTTCCACAGCCAGCGTAGGAACGGCTCCTCCAAATATGGGGGCTTCCTTTGGGAGCCCAACATTTAGTTCAACCGTTCCAAGCACAGCCTCTCCAATGAACACAGTCCCACCACCACCGATTCCTCCAATCCCAGCGATGCCATCTTTGCCACTGATGCCGTCCATTCCCCCAATACCAGTTCCTCCTCCAGTACCTGCATTGCCTCCCGTGCCTCCTGTGCCTCCAATTCCCCCAGTCCCTTCTGTGCCACCCATAACCCCATTGCCACCCATGTCAGGCATGCCGCCCTTGAATCCGCCACCTGTGGCACCTCTACCTGCTGGAATGAATGGCTCTGGAACACCTGTGAATCTGAACAATAACCTGAACCCTATGTTTCTGGGTCCATTGAATCCTGTTAATCCTATCCAGGTGAACTCTCAAAGCAGTGTAAAGCCACTTCCCATCAACCCTGATGATCTGTATGTCAGTGTACATGGAATGCCCTTTTCTGCAATGGAAAATGATGTTAGAGATTTTTTCCATGGGCTCCGTGTTGATGCAGTGCATTTGTTGAAAGATCATGTAGGTCGAAATAATGGGAATGGATTGGTTAAGTTTCTTTCCCCTCAAGATACATTTGAAGCTTTGAAAAGAAACAGAATGCTGATGATTCAACGCTATGTGGAAGTTAGCCCTGCCACAGAGAGACAGTGGGTAGCTGCTGGAGGCCATATCACTTTTAAGCAAAGTATGGGACCTTCTGGACAAACCCATCCCCCTCCTCAGACTCTTCCCAGGTCACAATCGCCCAGTGGGCAGAAAAGGTCAAGGTCAAGATCACCACATGAGGCTGGTTTTTGTGTTTACTTGAAAGGGCTACCATTTGAAGCAGAAAACAAACATGTTATTGATTTTTTTAAAAAGTTGGATATTGTGGAAGATAGTATTTATATAGCTTATGGACCCAATGGGAAAGCAACTGGTGAAGGCTTCGTAGAATTCAGGAATGAGGCTGACTATAAGGCTGCTCTATGTCGTCATAAACAATACATGGGCAATCGGTTTATTCAAGTTCATCCAATTACTAAAAAAGGTATGCTAGAAAAGATAGATGTGATTCGTAAAAGACTGCAGAACTTCAGCTATGACCAGAGGGAAATGATGTTAAATCCAGAGGGGGATGTCAACTCTGCCAAAGTCTGTGCCCACATAACAAATATTCCATTCAGCATTACCAAGATGGATGTTCTTCAGTTCCTAGAAGGAATCCCAGTGGATGAAAATGCTGTACATGTTCTTGTTGATAACAATGGGCAAGGTCTAGGACAGGCAGTGGTTCAGTTTAAAAATGAAGATGATGCACGTAAGTCTGAACGCTTACACCGTAAAAAACTTAATGGGAGAGAAGCTTTTGTTCATGTAGTTACACTAGAAGATATGAGAGAGATTGAGAAAAATCCCCCTGCCCAAGGAAAAAAGGGGTTAAAGATGCCTGTGCCAGGTAATCCTGCAGTACCGGGAATGCCTGGCCCGGGAATGCCTGGCCCAGGAATGTCCGGCCCGGGAGTGCCCGGCCCGGGACTGCCTGGCGCGGGAGTGCCCGGCCCGGGAATGCCCGGCCCGGGAATGCCTGGTGCAGGAATGCCCAGCGTGGGCATGCCCGGCGCGGGAATGCCTGGTGCAGGAATGCCCAGCGTGGGCATGCCCGGCGCGGGAATGCCTGGTGCAGGAATGCCTGGTGTGGGAATGCCCAGTGCAGGAGGTGAAGAGCATGCCTTCCTGACTGTAGGGTCAAAGGAGGCCAACAATGGGCCTCCATTTAACTTTCCTGGTAATTTCGGTGGGTCGAATGCCTTTGGGCCACCCCTCCCTCCTCCAGGATTAGGAGGGGCCTTTGGTGATGGTAGGCCTGGTATGCCTTCAGTTGGAAACAGTGGTTTGCCTGGTCTAGGACTGGATGTTCCAGCTTTTGGAGGTGGACCAAATAATTTAAGTGGGCCATCAGGATTTGGAGGGGGCCCTCAGAATTTTGGAAATGGCCCTGGTAGCTTAGGTGGCCCGCCTGGGTTTGGAAGTGGCCCTCCTGGTCTTGGAAGTGCCCCAGGGCATTTGAGTGGGCCACCAGCCTTTGGGCCTGGGCCTGGACCTGGGCCTGGGCCAATCCATATTGGTGGTCCCCCTGGCTTTGGATCTAGTTCTGGAAAACCAGGACCAACAGTAATTAAAGTGCAGAACATGCCCTTTACTGTGTCTATTGATGAGATTTTAGATTTCTTTTATGGCTATCAAGTAATTCCAGGCTCAGTGTGTTTAAAATACAATGAAAAAGGTATGCCTACAGGCGAAGCCATGGTGGCCTTTGAATCTCGGGATGAAGCCACAGCTGCTGTCATTGACTTAAATGACAGGCCTATAGGCTCAAGAAAAGTAAAACTTGTATTAGGGTAGTTGTTCACATCAATTCTTTATAAGGTAGATATTCATATTGCTGTGATTAATGCATCCAGATTGTTTTCCTAGTATTTCCAGGTTAGAACCTGTGGATTAAATTGCATATAGATTGGTTTCCGTAACACAGAGCATTGGTTGACAGTTTACAGAAGACTCACTACCTGGATAAACATTGCTGTATGTTACAGTACAGCTATCTGGAGAGAACACGAAAATGATTTTGGCATACCATTAGAGAAACTATTTGTAAAACTCAAATGACCACATAAAGCTTATCAAGGAGTCTAGATTGGTTTTGTTTTATATCATATGGGATAAAGAAAATAGAAATGCCAGTAGAGCTCATTGAGGGTGCTCTTGCCAGCTGCTGAAAAATAGAAGTTGGCTACTCTTGAAATTTGGCTTAAAGCTGGACAGATTTGCTTTGTTATAGGGTCAAAGCTTTGTCTAAAGTCCTCTTTTCCTTTTAAAATTGAATAAAATCTCTGTATACAGATTCATTGTATGTACCTTTATTGCTTCCTGAGGGTTCTCACTGTACAGACAGTTCTGCTTCAGAAGTTGCTGCTTTATTTGCCTAATTGACTCAATTTGTAAATGGGCAGAGCTGTTTTGTTTTCTTTTTCTAAATATAAAACTCCACACTTGGTTTGTGCTTTAACCTTGAATTTTGATTTCTAATGTCACACTTAAAACTGTGTGGAATAAGACTTTTGCCATAAAAATAAACTATGGAGTCCTCTAAGAGCCTTTTTGGTTTGACCGCCAAGTTTTAGTTTAGTCAGTTTAAAAATTGTTTATGCTGTTCAGATGGCATCGAAAACCAGAAACCACTTTTAATAATCAGTGTTTAAGATGCTTGATTTGATGTCCTGTCCATAATGGACTAATTGTTTTGCAATTTTCTTCTGTCCCAACTTATGTGAAATTTTGCCTTTAAGTAAACAAAGGGGTCCACTTATAAGAAAGAGTATTATATCTAGGTTTTTAAAACTGATGTTGAAATTGTTAGCTTTGTTAGCAATAGCATTATGGAATAAAGGATCCATAAGCTGGTACACAGATTGATATGTGTTTAATTCTGTGACTTAGAGACTTTTTGGTGTAGTTGTTTGATCAGGAGCCTGTTTACAAAAATTCTTCATACAGAGTACAGTTGCAACTGCCAGAGGGGAGAGAATTGAAACTCCTTACCCTTTCATACTCTTTTTTGGCATTCAGGACACTAAGGCAGGAGGACCACGTGGGTCCTGGTTGGTACGTGTCCTTGTCATAAATTTGCCTTACAATGTCCTGGTCACTGCCACAAAAGGCGCTACTTAGGGTTACTTTCCTCCTTAGTTAAAATGTTCTAAAGATGTGTCACGGTGTATTGTAAACGTACTGAATGGAGATTGGTGAGATATCATGAAAAACAAATTTTGTCTTTTACATGGCCCTCTTGCCTTGGTTTGAAATATTCCCAACATTTCCTACAAATCAATGTAATTTCAAAGTGGTCAGCCTTTTAAAAGAAGTATTTCCTATTAAAAATATGTATGTAGTGCTTTTTGGTGTTGCAAGTCAGTGGAACACTGAAATACAGTATTGTAATTTAGGATTAAGAGTGGCAACAGTTTCATTTGTGTGATAAGATTTAGAAAAGCCTTTTTATCACTGCAATCTTAGAGGATTGACAGTACAGGATTTTTTGTTTAGGGAAAGGATTGCTTAGACTTTCAAAGAACTGGTGGCTGCATTGTGGGTCTTTTGATAATACACGAATACAGATTTGCTTTTAACAGATCACTAGATATTGCCTCCTCAACTTAAAAAGCAATATGTTTGTATATGTTGTTCAATTTAAGTTTTCTGTTCAGTAATCATTTCTTATTCCAAAGACAGAAGGCAAAAAACTTCAGCACTGCTGCTTGGGAGTCTTATTTCAACACAGATTATTTTCCCCGTTGGAAAGCTGACTAATTTCATTTTAGCAAAATGAGTTGTTAGAAGATGAAAGTCTTTTTACCTTTTTTCCAATTTATTTTGGTTCTATGTTAGTACATTCTTATTAAATATTTCATACACTTTATTGCAACTACTTTGTTATTTCTACATTTGAGGTAAATGCTGAAAAGGAAAACTTGATTTCATTGTTCATTGAATTTAAATAAATTAATAGTGGTTTGTGTAGAAATTGGAGAGAACTATGTTTCATATTTCGTTGAATCACAACAGTGCTTCTCGTTGTGAAATGTAATTAAATGCTTTGCCCTCTGGAACTTGATTTTTGTGTATCTGAGACTTATTAACATTAGTGCTAATGCTAAGCATACTGTTTATCTTGTTCTGGGTATTGGAGTTTCAGTTTAAAAAAAATTCTTGAAAATATGTTCTGTGAAACTATTCATACTTCTCTTCCTGCAGATTTTCTCCTGAGAACTAGGTTTGGGGTAGAAATGAATTTACATTATTTTCTCATTTGTTTTGTATAGTATGAAGGATTTGTAAAGCTTGCTCAAAGTTGTGTGCATTTGTAAACACTATTATGATATTTGCAATTTTATGTGTAAATTTTATTGTCTGTTTTTGGTGACTCTGACATTCATGGGAGAGACTCTTTTCCATTAGGTTTAATTTTTCCCCCTTCTTCCGAATTTTTATTGGTGTTTATTTTTCTTTTCGTTTAAAGGATTAGAGAAAGTCTACAAATGTATTTTATGAATAAGCAAATTTGTGAATATTTCTGAACTTTAGTGAAACATTTAGTTCACAAGCATAATTTGGAGGTGTGTTCTGTTTACACTGTAGTTTGGATGTACAATTATTATTTTTTTTTGTTTTTAAATGCAACACAGTGTTAAGTGAAATATAGTTCTAGCTTTGTACTCCAAATTGTCAAAGCATCAACAATGAAAATCCCGTTAGGAAACTTTTTATTCAGAATTTCAGTAATATTCAGTTTAGCTAAGGTCAGTCTTAACCCACTGGATGAAAATCTAGGACTGTGTGTGGAAGTAAGCAAACATACATTTTTAGATGGAGATGGACACCTTGCATAAAAATAAGGATGCATGAAAGCCCTAGTCAAACTCACATCCCTTTTACTGGATTCTGTGATTGTATACAGGTGTGGGTCAAGTGTGTAAAAATAAAATCCATTCATCAGTTTTAAGAACACTTGAAAAACGAGTAAAGAAAATGTAAAATTGCTGCTCGTCAAATCTTTTGGAAAGAATTTCTGGCAGTGATCACTTTAAAAATTATCTCCCACCCTTGCAAGATTGCCACACTTAAATTGTTTTACTGGCAGTTCTATAATAGTCCAAATTTTAGAAACTAAACACAATAAAATGGCTCATTGCCAGCATATACTGCCTTGGCATCATTCAGCAGAGGTTTTTGTTTATAAAGATGAAGTCTTGAATACTGTTCAATAAACTTGTCGCAAAATTAAACAGGCTGATGCTTTTAATGCTTTAACTGCACAAAAGTATTTACTGAGATATAACATTATTAGGTTTGTTTTAAATTCCTGAAAATATTTTGTGCCTTTGGAAAGGTGGATTTGGTGATCTTGGAGGTAACAATTGTTGCTTATCCTTGTCTGCTAATGCTGAAGTGTGGAATGAAGAGGATACCTGGAACAGCAGGGAGGACACTTGATTCTAGGTCAAATCTGTGGTATCCACCTTTTCAGAATTTTATTTTACTGTTTGTTTTGCTAGCAAACTACTTCGTTATGTGGACTGGGAAACAACTGGAGACCAGATGCTCCTTTTAACAGAAGTAGTCTTAAAGGGGTCTGTGAATTACCATTTAAAAAAACTGATGACGGTAGGAAATGGGGAAAATCTTCAGAATAGATTTTCAGTTGCATGTACCTCTAAACGTTTATTTTTCCTTTTTGTTTTTGCATTAGTATGTTAGGTATTTGAGGTGGAAGAAAGGAGAGGAATAAAAAACATTACTGTTTTCTGATATTGATGCTCTAATTTTTGTCTCTTCCACATTTGTTCAACTCCTGAAAATTTAGCAAATGAAAAGTTTCCATAAACTCCACAGAGTACTTTTTAAATAATCTGGGTTGGAGTTGCAGTGAAACTAGTGGGCTGTTCCGTGTTATGAAAGCTCTTGAAATTTATGGTTTTATCTTTATCATGAAAGAGTTTAGCTTGTATTTGAATTTGAATACCCAAATTTTTTTTTTTTTTTTTTTTTTTTTGTCTTTTGTCTTTTTTCCGTGTCCGGCAACGGATCGCAACCCCCAGTGCTGCCCCCGTACTGGACCGGGGACCGGCAACGGGATCGCAACCCTCGGGTGGGAGCGCCGCCGCGCTTCCAAAGCGGCGCACTATCCAGTGCGCCACCGGGCCGGCCCCCCAAATTGTTTTAAAGGGGCTTAATTCCAGGTAGTAGCTGAGCCATTTTAAAATGATCAAGGTTTGACTAAGCATTTGAAAAATCTCTGAGTGAAATCAGCTGCCTACAGATACCTGAAATGGCCTTTACCATCTGGATGGCATGGACTCTAATAATATGTCTCCTATTCATGTTCAGGAGAGGTCACTTCTATAATTAATTGTCTGTTTTCCAGTATTTTACATCAAGAAATAGTTTATGAATTGTGTGCGTCATCACTGTTCTCCCAAAAGTAGAGATTTTATGGGATATGGTAGAATCTAAATTTATGGCTTTGCTTTTTATTAAAATTTGCTTGGTTTCAATTTTTTTAGTGTAAAGTCTGATAGATCACATTAACTTGTAAAATGTTCTGGAAAGAGTACTCTGGTAGTAGCACAATTCTTTGGTGCTGTAGAGACTTTTCTGGGAAAACCCTTCTGTTCAACAATGTAAGCGAATTCATCTCCTATTGGTGCCTGTTCAGGTAAATGTTAATTCTTTATTGTGCTGTTCCTGAGTTTCTTCCTGGTGCTTTGAGCTACTTTGTATCAGAGAGTCTCAAAAGCATCCTAGAATATGATTCCTTTTTGGAATCAACGTAACTAGCAATGAGTAACCAAGGTGGCACGATTTTCTACATACTGCTCTAACTCAAGGGTCCAGAAGGAGTAAAAAGCCACCTGATGTAAACATTCCAGCCCCACGGACAAAAGGACAGCATTTCAAAAGTCTGGAGGCAGGAAATAGTGCTGGAGAAAATTTCATTAACCACATCCCTCAAATTCTCTCAAGAGCCCTAGGGACCTACCTTATGTGAAAATGTTGAAGGTTAGGGCATAAAGACCCAGTGAACAGTTGTAGAGAACTGGTAAATGGCACAGCAGAGCATTGGAATTGGCACTCTAGCTGTCCCAAACATCTGGCTCTGACCTTAGTAACTTAATAGTTTGAACTCATTTTTCCTCAGCAGCTGATGGCTTGCCATTTCATGTTGAGAGGAAAAGGAGGTGACTATTTGGGGGAAATGGAGCAGTGACTAGCAAGGGAACATAATTCAATATGAACTGAGTTAAAGCAGTTGAATCAACTTAACTCATCCCAGCAGTGAACCATGCTATGTTCAAGTGAGCTTCCCCTTGTTATTTCATTTCCTCTTCATTCTGCTACTGCTAGTTTTCTTTTGCCTGCTTATATAGTAAATCTGCTGGTAACCAGGATTGACTCTTAAACTGAAGTCCTCTCACTACTGTCTGTGTAGCCCCAGCCTACTAATGGGCAGGGATCATGTTCTCATGGCTCTTGAATAGTGAATAAGACTTGTCATGCATTAGTGCTTCACATCAGATGGTAACAACCACATTGTGCTACCACAAGTCACCTGTTAGTCTCCATAGAGTGGGAGAGATTTAAGAAGGGTAAAGGAATTCAGCTACTTAAGAGGTTTTAAGTCATATCAACTGGTGCTGCTGCTTTCCTCATTTTTCTTTTGTTCCACTTGGAAATATGTTGATGCCATCCTCCGCTACACTGTTCCACACATTGGATTGCGATGAGGGTGGGAGGGTGGCACAATCTTTATACATAACTCCCTTCTGTGGTGTGGCCTGTGGGACCAGCAAAGTCCCTCTGCTATAAATCTGGCTAAAGTGATGGCAGGATTAATGCAACTACTAACTGAGGTAAATACTGCTTTGCTTCTATGACTATTGAATTGACAGGTTGGAGTTGGAAACGTCTGTTGCTTTCAAGCTTTTAGGACAATTTCACCTGAATATACAGCTTGACCATAGCTGTACCCCGTACTAACAAGTTTTTGAGCAGTGTTGTGTACCTAGCACTTATACATTGGTGAAACAGGAAGCAAAATAAGATGCCTGTTCTTCAAGAGTTAAGTTACACAAGTAAGCACTTAGTTGTACTCATATTATGTATACTCATGTAGCACAGGAACCAGATAAAGGTTTTCCTGGCCAATTGCTAACTGATGGTCAGACAGAAACAAGTGTAAACCAGTCTGTGGCTGTAGTGTATTTTTCCTATTGTCAAAATTCTCGCTTTATTTCTCTGCTTCCCTAATGTGCAAATTCTGAAGAGCGATCCACCATAAGGTCTCCCAAGTATCCCAAATGAATTTATTCCAGTAAGGAGTAGGTACACTTGCATTATCAACAATATGTAGGTTTCCTTTCCAAGGGTTTTGGTCTGCTTTTGTTCATTCACTCAGCAGCTTTTGTGCCACACTGGAGATGCACAAGTTTTTGGCAGTGCCTCCACCCTGAAGATGCTCAGGAAGGTGGTTCAGTACCATTGTTGTCTCAGACATTCCATAGGTGATAGAGAAGCATTAAAAGAATGTAAATTCTAGCAGGGCAGGATGGGGGCAGAATTGACTACCCCATAGATGTTCTTTGAAAATTTTGGTGTAGAATACATTTTTGTGAGGTGAATTCTACCTTATTTGCAGTATTCATCCCTGGTATTTAAAAACTTCTTTTGATGGAGTGTTCAGTAAATGTGGAGTCCAGCATTTCCCCACTTTCTGCTCCAGCAGTCAGACAAATAGGAAGAACGTGGTGGATGTAGAATTATTTTCCATCTGTGTGCAAGGCTAGTTAGTATAGGTCATGGGGAGAGGCCACATGAGCCTCACTGCTTTTTTAGTGGCCAGGTGGACTTCAGACTGGACTGGATTACAAGATGTGAGCTGTTGCTAAAATGGGTGGATATAGAAATCACATTCTCAGGGAATCAGGTTGTGGTTCTATTATTACTGTGACCCAGTACCTTTGGCCTCTGGTTTTTTCCTACAAAATGGGATTAAACTAGATGATCTCATATCTGGTGTTAAGCTCATGTGATTCTGTGAACCCAGCCATTCTATATTTTTCTGGAAATGTGTAGGACCTTAAACTAAAGAGAGACCAAGAGTGGGACTCAAAATTTTGGTCTGGCTACTGCTCTACTGCTGCTTTTTCTTTCTTTCTTTTTTTTTTTTAAAGATGACCAGTAAGGGGATCTTAACCCTTCACGTCGTGTTATCAGCACCACACTCTGCCAAGTGAGCCATGGGCCGGCTTTTTCTAATGTAGAAGAAGTCCCACACTGCAGCTTGGGAACTTCAAAGGGTCTTCATTTCCACTTTTGGGGGCTGTTCTTCTTCTGCTAGTTAGATCCTCTGGAGCAGGTAGGCGCAGAGGCATTCTTCCTGGGTACCGTGTGAACCAACAGAGTTAGACCCAAAGGTGCACTTATGCATTTGTGAGCCCTGAGAGGAGGAAAGAGTTGACATACACTGGGCATTTACTCTATGCCAGGCAGGGAGCACTTTTCCTGGTTGGCCTCACTTAATCCTCATAATAACCCTGTTAAATTGGCATTATTATTCCCACTTTACAGATGGGAAAATCCAGGTAAAGAGAAGCAAAGTGACTTGCCCAAGGTCTCATTAATAAGGGGTGAACAGATTTTTCGATTATAGGTGCCTACATGACTCCAGAGGTAGAGCCCCCACCCTGACCCCAACCGTTCCCTGCCTCTCTCTGACTTTTGGGGAAAATATGGAGGCCACTGGCAGTAGTCTTCTGTCCTGGATCCTGACCCTGTTGGGGAAGGGGCTCCCACCCTGCTTCAATGCCTTTTCAGTTCCCCAACTCTAAGTATAAGTGGAGGGGCAAACAGCATTACCTTCTGGGAAGGCATCTCAGCCTCCACAGTCAAGCTAATGATTACAGAGTGGGACCCGAACTTATTTTGAAGTAGGCCAAGTGGAAACTTTGTGAAGGACAATCAGAGTCTCTGGACAGAGAAAAATTCCCATTCCAGTGCAGTCCTATCCTGCTTGAAGGCCATGTGTTTGCTCAGTTTGCTTCTGTCCTCATATCCAATTCTGTCTTCAAGCTAGATTTGCTTTTCTGAAAAGTTGGGCACAGGTAGATTTGTTCAACTTTGGATAAGTCTTTGGAGATGCTGGAGTTGGATCAGTGGCTAACAAATTTTTTGACCTTCACCCAGTACGGCCATATGGGAAATCCTGTGGCCATTTTCTTTACCATAT